ATTTTTGCCACTTGTGTTTATCTGCATTTAGACTTTGATTTGGATAAATTAAGCTCTCAAGTGTTCCTTGCTTTATGAAACTCTGCATGTTGTACACTTCAACACAAATAAATGACTTGTACCATTAGAGGTTTAAATAATGTAATGTATTTCATGCTCAGCCTGAAGCTGGATTCCAATGAAGTTGCTAATGCACGTAATGATTAAGTGTAACTCAAATACTAACTGTGTTGTTGAAAACATGACAGGCAATAATTTGGTCTATTATATTCTGCCATTTAATTGCCTAGTACAGACATTCTCTGACACGTTATGAAGCAATGATTTACAATTATTCAAGCTGCAAAGGTCAGAAAGTGACATTATAATCATCTACATAGAGATCCCTTCTAATGCACAAAAACTAGGTAATGCCACACACACACACACACACACACACAAAGAGTTTTACTGCATTAGTAACTTTCTATTTAAGGGTTCTCAAATCAACTAGGAATAAACAGTTCATAAGCACATTAATATACAATTTTAAAATGTCTGGAATCTTTTCATGAACCCAGATGTGACAGATTTAGAAAATGCCCTTATTCTCTCCTGATGAGGTAAATTGATTTCAACTATTTAACTCCACACACAAGAATTAAGACAAGACTTAAGGAAATCAATCAGTAAACAATGCAACTCCTAAATCATGCACACTAGGGTCTACGCTTCTCAATAATGGCATATCAAACTTGGTTATCGTTTCTTAGGTTTATTGAAATCACAGGCCAATTATTAGTTTTCTACAACTCTTTAAAAAAAAAAACCTAATACTGCAAAACAAAAACAATAACCCTAGTTGATCAATTATATCCCTCTCATCTTAATTGGATGATATAATCTTTATACTTTTTAGACACCTTTGGCTATTACACAAATATGTTCAGTTTGTAACCCTCAAGTAAATGCAATAAATTATCAACACATGAATGAGTGGGAAAAAATAAAATTATTTTAAACAACACTTATAAGTGGGAAATACAAAACAGAGAAAGTGTTGGGGAGAGAGAGACAATATCAGAAAATGAAAGTAAAGCAATGTGCAAGCAATTTTTTTAAAAAATGTAAATTTGGGGAAAAGCAGAAAATAAAAGTGGATGGTAGGAGAAAGTAGGTAAGTTACATTTACTACATGCTAGTGAAAACAACCTAGAGAGAAAAAAATAAATACAAACCAAAGTTACATCAAGAACAAAAACAGGTATTACAAAAAGCGGAGAAATAAAGAAAAGAAATACTTAAAAGGAAGAAACAGTGGTCTACAAGGAAGAAACAGTGGTCTACCATTCTAGTCGAATAATTTAAGTACATCACTAAAACCATTTTGAATATTAAGTTTCCCATCAGTAAAATGGGGATAATAAGCATAAGGTAAACAAACCACAAAGCTATAGAAATCAACGAGTGAGATAAAAGTTAATCAAGGCTCTTTATTAAACCACAATACACTGCATAAGCACTATGCAGAGTACTAGGTATACTATTTTATATGTACATAGGGAATAAAATAAACTTAAAAGAATTTAAACTTAAAAGAATTTAACAAGACATGATGCCTAAAATAACTTTTATAAGTCACTGAGATTTTTAAGTTTTTGACTACTGAAAGAAATAAAGGTAAAGATCACGGAAGTAATGAAAATACGCATTTGGCCTATTTTCTAAACACAAAATTATTAAATAAAAGCATTAAATACAAAAAATAGGTATAGTTTCTATTATTTCTTACTTTCTCTCCCACTAAGCCCTATGTCAGAGCCATAAGAGATTTTCATGTTAACTATCCATCAAGTGCCTAAATATAAACATACCTATATTCTATAAAATTCCTCTCTCGATCACATTTGGATATTTTTAACAAGTAAGAAACTCTACTTTTCAAAAAGAAAAATGCTCCCCCAAAAGTGAAAGTAAAATAAATGGCTCTTAACGTGAAGTTATCCATAACGTGTACTTAAAACATGTAGTACAAAGCAATACATTTTTGAAATGTTTACCATGACATGAGCAGGTAAAACCTTGAGTAAACAAAACTTAAATTCTGAATTCTTAATCCTAACGACCTAATAGGAATTAGGCGTCTAATACATTCAGCTTCCTCTGTCAAACTAACTTAAACCCAAGATATACAGTAGTTAAGACTTGCCAATGGGGCAGGGCAAGAGGGGGTAATGGTATCTTAAAATTGATCCTGAAGATTCAAAAAAAATCAGTCTAGGTTCAGACAACTTATACAAAAGTTGAAAAGGTAGTTTTTGTCAAGGGTGTTGCTAATGCACAACCCTAAAACTAAGTGTTAGTGAAAAACACAAAACGTGCAGTTGATGAGCATCCAAAATCATCTAATTTTAAATAAAGAGCTGAAAAAGAGGTCAATTACAAATAATCTGAGACATTAATATTGAGTTCAATACTGTTTGTTGTTTCCATTAATTTCACCATAAAATATGAGTTTTCTTCTTCAAGAAAACCAAGAGGTTACTAAGAAAAAGAGTACACTATTCTGAGTAATAATTTCACTTTAAAAATGTGACTGCCCAATTTTTTAAAATTACTAATCAAGTCTATTTGAGAAATAACTCCTTAAAACTCAAATGATGAAGAGATCATTAAGAAAATTCTAAACGGCAGAGACTAAGATATTAACTACTAAGGAAAAGAAAACATAATGCAAGACCTTCTGTTTGTGACAAAATTATAGAGTTAATGTTCCTGAAAGATCACTTCACCTTTTAAAGCATGATTTTGTAAAAGGTAAAATTTATAGCAATTAAAGCTAATGAAGAAATGCAGCATGAGCTGCTTATGTTCAGGAACTAATAGGTCCACTGAGCATTTCTAAGATTATTTAGCCATCAATGATAATGAATTGGCTTTGTCAGTGAAGTTAATGTACAAATCCTCTCCAGTGCCAGTCATCTGATAACCAATCCTTGCACTTTTTCATGCTTTTCACTTTACTTTTTAACCTGTACACTCTGCCCTATCCCTTTGAAACACATGAAATATGGAACAACCTATGATACTTTTTCTGCAACATTGAAGGGTACCTAATTCACTACCATTCTGTTCCAACTACATAGATCAATAAGTATTCTTCAGTTTACTGCAATTCTTCAGAACTTTCAGAGTCACTGTTAAAATTATTGCTACCTAACTTTTAAATCAAATTTCATTGTAAAAAAATAAAGAGAACTATTATTTCCTAGTCTGATGACATTCAATGGCTGTCATAATTCGAAGAAATACAATTCTGGACTCTAGAATGCTTGTTCTACATACGCACACACACACATAGCTCTCTCTCTCTGAAGGCAGTATAAAACTCAATATATGTATAATCATTTACAATTCTGTATCTCCAGGATCAAATATATGAACTACTCATACAATATTTCAGTTGTATGTGGCAAGCAGTTAGCGAGCAGGGTGTGCACTGTTCAAATTATACAACTAATGCCAATCAATTATGTATTCTTTTTGATACCAGATACATTAAAAACTGTTCTGTGAAAAGCTTTCTTCTTCTCTTTCCAGGGTCTTAGTAACCTTAATTTAAAAATGAATGGAATTAGATCTCTATTGACAGAGTATGCAAAAATTGTTTACTTATTTCTCAGAAATGAGAGAAAAACTGCTTACTGCCACCTAATAGCAAATTTTCACTGGAGTCAGGGCCTTCTTCTTTCCTATAACTCATATGGTAAAAACAATAAGTGAGATATCTTTTAAACTTCCAAGACCTACAGCAATTAAAATGAACCATTTGACACTTGACCCTTGCAGCTAAAATCAGTAGTAACAAAACTCATTCTCCCACTGATCTTCAGGGGGCTTTAGGGCAAAGGGTCATCTTCATTTACTTTAGCTGCAAGTCACTGAACCATCAATTCTGCCAATGAATATATCACAGACCATGGTTCATAAAACTGCTTGCAAAGGTATTTGTAAAACTATCCTAAGGGTCAAAATACACAACTGCATCCTGGGATGAAGTGTACTGTCCAACAAATAACAGAACTTGTTTTTGACATAAAACGATCTTCTACTAAAAAAATAAAGCTAATAGAATACGCGCACATTGCATAATGTAAGTGAGCCTGTGGTATTTTGTGAATTAGCCATAAGAACTGCAAGTTTCTCAGGTTTCACATGAAGAATTTTTATATGATGCACTTATTAATTTCTCTAGCATAACAGCATTAAAATATACTTTTAATCAGAAGTAGGGTATTAAAATCCACCTCTGAATGTCCTATGTTATACCATATATGATCTAGCATTTTAAAACCTTTTAAACATTTCTGCTAAATTAATTAGTTTTGCATTAAGGCACCTTAGCACTGTCTATTAAATGCAACACATTTGAAAGACAAACATTATACATGATTCTTCAGAGAAAGAACCATTAACTAAAAAAGGAAATAAGTTTTGAAATAAAGTTACACAAAAATGCATAACAACTGTTTTTCTTCAGCATCATCCCTGTAATAATCAGTAACCAGTCATCTGAAATTAAATCTTTTGTTGTTTTCCTTATAGAATAAGTCCAATGGATCCAAAGAGCTACTAATGTGATAAAAATTAAAGCAGTACAGCAAAAGAAAAAAAAATACATATACATTCCTAAAGCTATATTATGTATTTTTTTATGTCTTTAAATGGAATTTATAGTTCTCTCTGGCAATGTGAATGAACATCCTATAATTTAGTCAATTTACAGATTACAGGTTCAAATTGACCTTGTAGCCCATAAAATTGCTCATCTTCAGTACAGGATTAGAAGTGGGAGAAGAATGTCATAACTGTATTTAAGGAATTTACCATAACAATGGAAAGGAGGGTACGCATGCATAATTTTAGCCACTCTTACTCCTATGGGTTTTGAATTCCAAAACAATGGCTATCCTGCACATGCTTCCTGGTTCACACAGCAGGGACGTCTTCAGTTTACTCACCCACAGACATGACACTTGTATTCCCTCATCCCAAGGTGCCTTTTCACATGGTTTCTGGCATCTCCAAGCTGAGCTGTTGCAAAATGGCATATCTTGCACTTGAATGGTTTTGATCCTGAGTAAATGTAACATAAAATATGATTTGATTTTGAATAATACATCACTAATAGCTTAGAAAAGAGGACTAAATCTTAAATCATACCTTTAACCTAATTAAGAATTTCTGTACCCAAAATGGAATACTTGCATTCATTTATAACTTGAATAGACCGGATTCCATAATTATTTTACTCTGAAGACTTTGTTTCAGTGAGTCTTCCTAACTTCCACTAGCAATCCTAAGATTCAAACTCAAAAGTGAGACTGCTGAGCTGTACTAAGTAGATGAGATGAGCTACATAATTTTAAACATTTTTCTTACAATTCACAAAAATACATCTTAAAGTCACTCAACACTTCAAACGGAACATTTCTAAAACATAAATGCACACAGGGCAGCTGATATTTTAAAAAGCATATTTATCATCAAATACATTTCTCTGTGGTCACCTCCTTGTTTCCTCATATTCCTCCGGCTTTGAGTTTACTCACATTAAAACAATGGTATATTTCAGGTTTTTTCCTGACATTTATCCCAAATTATTATCTATATTTTTAATAACACAGTTTATAAATATACAGTAGATAAAATTTTATGCTTTTATGGTCATTTTTATAGTCAAAAATCAATGATGATTAGACAAACTGGAAGAACTGACATTTTGGTTATTAATTTCAAGGACAAATATTTCAACACAAAATGCATACAAAATTTGTTAAATCATTTCATAAAGAATAAGATTAAACTATACTCAAAAATGAGAAAATAAGATTATTTCAAAGTCTACACACTTAGTGTCAGTAATAGATAAGACTGAAACTGAAACATATTAACAGACGATCATTATCAACATTAATGAGAAACAACACTCTTTTAAGATATAAAGTATATACACCATTTCCAAACTTTCTAACCACTACATCTTCAAATAAATCAAAATTGTAAAAACCAATTTAAAATCAGTACAGTATGTTTCCAGACTTTTCATATCATATTTAGTACTTATATGGTGAAATACTGCCTCTACTATAGTTAGATAGAACATGAAATATGTGAACTTTAATAAATATACAAAAGGAGCTCAAATTTAAAAAATTGTAATAAATCATATTTGATCAATGAACCCTTTGTGCAGTGTCCTTGGGAAAAAAAAAAATCCTCCAAGAATACTTCGTTGAAATTGAAGCACTCAGTAAAAAATTTTAGAGTCTTAAATTTCAATTTAATTCCCAAAAGCTGACAAAAAAAGTGAAGCATTTAATTTTCATCTTCCAACAGAAATAAAAAAGTCAACAGTACTAAGCACCGGCAGACAAGGTTGAATATTTCACAGTTCAATGACAATGAAGCCAGATCTCTTAATATTTCCATTTCTGCTGTTAGAAGTAGATGTAAAATATATTTAGCACCTGAATGGTTATATCTAGTCAGGTTTATATGTTTAAATGTCAAAAGCAGGTTTAGACTGCAGCTTACAGTAATCATGTTCTATCAGTCACATTAGAAACTACAGTTTATTTAAATGATTCTGAGACAACTAAACCTATCACTGCTTTCAACCTTTCACTAAGACATAGAATTTCTTTGTAAAGTGTGTGAAGAACCAATTTACCAATACTTTGAATTTAAATGCTCTAAAGATAATAGGGTCATTAGGACATTATTAAGTAACAATAATATTAGGACTCGAAACAAAGAAGACCAACCTCTCCCAATATTTGTACTACAATGTTGGTGAACGGATGTAAAAGGCCTCATGGGTTGGAGTTTTCGTTCTGCTCACACAGCACAGCCATGTGACTAGCTCCTCCTCCTGTGGCACAGATGCCACAGAGAAACGGACATGGGGTCTCTGGTGTGTTCAATTTACTGTACATGGCTCCTTTGCGGAAAACTCTAGTTTCTGCAGGTCTCAGTGATCACAGCACAGCATGCTGACAATACATAAATGAGTTATTGTGTTGACAGCTTCACCCAGAATTGTAGAGGCCTTGACTATTCTTCACATCTTATATTCAGAGTAGACTGTGTTAATATCTCCTTTCTGTGCCATAAAAATTCAAATGCTAGCAGAGGTAACACTTCTCCGCATTTTAAAAAAAAAAAAAGCGGAGGGGGGCCTTTTTTCCTAACTAATAACATTTCCATTTTTAAGTTTGCTATGCACATTCCAAAATAAATGCAGGCATAGCATTTATAAGACAAAATTGTAAAATTGCAGATCTCTAAATATTTCTCTCACGTACATTTTGATTATTAAAAACAGTATTATTTGCAATAGTTCCATTCCTTGGAACAGCACTATTCGCAGTAGGTTTTTTGGTTTTCATTCGGTCCATAAGGTTTTTTCAAAGGGAAAAACTAAAGAGGCTCTCTATCTTTCCGGTACCTTGTTACTTTACTGAAAGAATTTCAAAGACTTTAAAATCCAGGTCTTCACTCAGGCCTACAGGGGCTCCTCAACCATCAATCATTACTAATTGCTATGCATACATAGATGTGCCATTAGCATTAAACAGAAAATACCAAATGAAAGCCTTTAGATCTTAAAGGAATGAAGGAAGTTGTATATTACTGATCATCTAACGACTACAGCCATCATTCTACAATTCTCCCTAAACATTTAAACGCTTCATTCATTCATTCATCTGCTCATTCATTTATTCACTCATCAAGATATACCAAGAGCCAACTAATGTGAGACACAGATGAAGCAGTGAACAATGTTAAGTATTTGAGGTCACTGTGCTTAAAGTCTACAAATTAACTCTCCTACTGAGCTGTCTGTCCTTTGTCACATATTGAGCTACAAACACTACCAGCCCTAACTTCAGAATTTCTTAGTGAAGTCACACACTCCCTATCTCCCTGGAACATTTTGAGATGGCATTAGTGACCAGAGCACTCTAAACATAAAATGAATGGCTTCAGACAATCTGGTAGCTTAACAGTAGCCCATGCTACATGAAATAAAAGCTTTAACAGACCAATGCAGGAGAAACAAAAAGGAAGTTTTTTAGTCCTGCTAGTGTAATGTGAAAGGAAGACTGCCCTTTCTGGTCACGTTGACTGCTTCACAGAAGCAAGCACACGGGGAGACTGGAGGATGCTTTTTCCTACAATGCTTGATAACCAAAACTCATTGATTTCTCATAGTGCTGCTTTTATCCTGCTAAGGATGGGAAGAAAAGGTTATATAAAACATATAGTAAATCACAAAATATGAAAACAGGGATTGGAAGAGTAAGCTCTTTTCCAGTTAACCATTAATAACAGCCTCTGCATTACTATTTTATGGACATAAGCAAAGTATGTGAAAAGCAATTCATTTTAAGATGCTCCAAGAAAAAAAAAACCCTGAATTAAAACCTGGAGACCAACTTCCCCAAAAAATGACTTGCAGAATTGAAATGGTAGACTTGTACTGTGTCCTCAGGAACAGGGCTCTTGGTAGTGTTTCAAAGCACAATAAAAATGTACTTTCTGATAAGCCAACACAAGATGTTAAAAAAAAAAAAAAAAAAACTATGCTAACTTTTACTAAATGTTACAATCAATGATGTAACTTATATAAGTAGGGTTACTTTGTCACATATTGATAGTTACCTCACTTTCACATCCACATTAACTTGATTTTAAATGCAATTAATACATATAGTCAAGGAAGACTAATGGACTACATTCTGCACTTAACCTGGTGGACATTTTCAAATGGCACAAGTGACCAGTGCAAACCTATTTTGCATTGTAAACGACTAAATAAATCTTAATGGATTAAGAATGATCAGCTATCAACACACAAGGGAAATTAAGTGCTGAAATGCCTACATTGATTATTTTAAATTATTAGCCTTACTCTGTTCTTGAATTTGTATGCTTTTAGTGAGCTTTAACACATTTACAAGACTTATTGACTATAATTACAAGAGAATTCAAGTAATGGACACATCAATTATAAGCAACATGTCTTGACCAGACAGTTGCATAAAGAATTCTAAAAAGAGCTCCATTAGCATCTTCCTCTTAGTTTTATTCAGTTTTATCTGCCTTAAGAGGGCATATTAAGAAAGTACATATTTTCTGTGCATGTGAACAAGCCTTCTTCCTAAAACTGTATCATTTCAGAAAGTTGCAACAAGGCACTGAGAGAGATACTAACAGTGCAAACAAATAAGCATTTTGACTTATTCCTCAAAAATGGCTGCAGTGCATGGGAATATTTGGGATCAAAAGTACAATGTTTGTATTTATTTAGATTAATCTTATGCAGGTTGCCCCATTACTTCCTTCAATGAAAAACTTTTATCTATCTTTAATCACCCTAAACTGGTAATAATGCTTCACACGCTTTTGTCTTCTTCCTTGTAACCATGTACTAAGTTTCAAAAACTGTATGAATTTAAAGTATAGCTTTAATAATAAGCCATTATTTAAAAGTACAGTAAAATAAACCTTACAGTTTTAATGAAAATATGTTCATTGAAATGTGAATTTATTATTCAAATCCACTCATAAATTCAACCATGAAGACAGAACTTGTCTAAGCAGAGCACAATGATTTAGAAAAGCTGTCTGTTTAAAATAAAGAATGTATGGCAGGTTTATAGAAACAGTGCAGTGAATTTTTACATAAATTTAGAACAGTAGCTTATGCATTTTCCACCAAAAAAAATGTTTTTTAAAAAACTTTCCACCTAAAATTAAACATTAAAATGGAACACTAACTGTGACAGAGCACAGAGACTAAATCAGGTGCTCCCTCCAGGAACAGCAGATCCCCAGCACATGTTAACTTTGGAAAGTGGTGGCTAATTTTGACCCACAAAGGTAGAATCTTGTTACCTGGAAGTTATACTTTTGGATATAAAGTATCTATTAATGAATATTTTTACATCCCTAATATTGTAAGAAAATCTGATTACTCCATACCTTAAAAGTCACTTAACATGTCTTCTGAAATTATAAGGTGCCACTTAATATACACTTTGGAAAACCAAATAATTAGGACTGAGAAACAACTGAAAAGCCACAACAGACAGCAGTTTTTAAAAGGCATCAGAGGGACTAGGCTTTTTGACAAAATTAAAAGAAACTTGTCAACTAACCTGCCTTTGAAATCACTAGGGCTTAATTACCCTTAAGAATGTTAAGTGTCAACAATGACTTATTACAGACAAGCAGAGCAGCACACAGCCGGGAAACGTGAACCGGGTGCAAAGCCAGTGAGCAGCCACAGGTAGGGCTGCACTATCTGGATGGGACAAATGGCCCAGCGTCCTCACTGGCTCGGCTTGCTGCAGAGCTACATACCTGTATGAGTGCGAATGTGTGCCAGGAAGGCCATCGAGTTGCTGCTTCGACACATCTTCCCACAATACTTGCAGACGTTTCCCTGGTTTTCCTCCCTCTCGCGGTTGATTTGCTCAGTGTCTTCCACTATATACTTATTCACCTCCCGTAGCAATTCCTCATGCTGTCCTTTAATATGTAGAAATAAATTCTGTTCAGAATCAAAGGGCTCCGTGCACTTGACACATTTAAAGGTGGCCCCTCCCTCCGGAAGCTCTTCCACACTGGCCTGCTCATTTCTCATGTGGCCGGCACTAGCCAGATGCTGGTGAAGGTTGCTTTCGGTATAGAATGACTTTCCACAGAGTAAACAATGGAAGTGCTTCTCTTTTGTAGGATGCTTCATGGCTATGTGAACGTTCAGTCCACTCAGTCCATCTGCTAAGAAGCCACAATCGTCACAGCGAATTCGTGTAGACTCACCAAGGGAACTGCCTTCAGATTTCTTCTTTTTCACACCTTGAGCACAGTCTTTCAAGGACAGTTCACTAATTCTCACTCCGGTTGCTATCAAGCCCTCTTCAGACTGGTCTATCAACTCACCATCTTCAGGGTTCTTTATTCTTATTATGGAGGAGTCAAACCGGCCAAAACTGTACATGGCCTGCCCTTTATCATCAATACTAATGATAGTTTCATAGACGTCATTACTTTCAACTGTGCTATCAGAAGCTGGGCCATCCTCCTCCAAAATAATTTCTGTTTCATCTTGTGAATTCATCAGAATTTCCTTATTCTCCAGAGTGGGATCTTCTTGGACACCTTTCAAGTCTTCCAAACCATGACCACGTGTAACTTTGTTCTGACCCCCGCTCTCCAGATTTCCCTGTTCTCTGGTTATTCTTGTCACAACAAGCGCAGGGCTTTCAGCCGAGCGCTCCCCATCGAGCGGTGCAGGGCACAGGTGTCTGTGGGGGACAACACCTCCACCATCTCCTGCGCTTCCTCCTTCACCCTCACAATGGACACGCAGCTCACCTGTATCATTTGATACCTCGTGGTTTTTCTTTGCTATCTCACAATTTAAAGCAGAGCTTCCTGAATTTTCATTTTGAAATCTGCTTGGGGAGCCATAGTTTGAGGAAATAATAGTAAGGGACATCATCTCCTCAGGTTTCCTAACTGTATCCTTGACAGGAGCCTGTTGGAAAGTCTCACAAAAGGAATGGTCTTCATTGAAATTAGATTCTTCTTCAGTCTCAACTTCTACAGAGTCAGCAGCGCAGAGCACTTTAGACATATCTAAATTAGTATTCTCATTTAAAATAGAGCAATCTGCAGCATTTCTAGATTTAAGAGTATCAGATGGTTGATCTGAAATTATCTGAAATTCCTCAGAATTTTGTTGATGCTCTTCTTCAGGCATAATGATGTTTTTGGACATGTCTGCAGAACCTGCTTCTACATTAGCAGAGTTGAGATAAGACTGCCTTTTCATTTTGTGTTTCTCTGTTGCTGCATGCCTGGTCATCTCGCGACGAGTCACCGCGTAGTAATCGCATGCCATGCAGTAAAACTCAAACTCTTTTGTATGTTTCCGTTTTACATGCAGCTCTAGAGAAGCCGAGGAGTGAGCACTAAACTCACAGTGCACACACTTATTCTCACCTGTGCCTGTAACATCTCTCTGGGAGTACACATCCCCCTGCTGGGCGAAGTCCTCTGGCTCTAAAGATATTTGCTCCTTTTTATCAAGAAGATGGCTGTTAACTTCTCCATCTAGAGAATGAAATACATTTTCAACTTCGGCTTCAACTGAGTTTCCATGATCTGGCTTTTGTAAAAAAGAGGTGGGTGATTCAGCAGGTTTGTTAACATGTTCATCTGACATGGTCACTGCTGAGCCAGCATTCTTCTTACCGGCTTCAAGGCTACCCCCTTCAGGGCCAACAATGATATCTGAACTGTGTTTTCCACTTGCTTCTATTTCTACCCGTCCTTTATGTTTCTTGGTGGCACAATGACGTTCCATATCTCCCTTAGTTACAGTGTAATACTTACACACTTTGCATAAATAACTATACTGGTGACTGTGTTTTCGTCTAATGTGAACAGTCAAGTTTGTAATACTAGAGGCCAAAAGACCACAGTGTGAACACGTCCGTGAGATGTTACCTTTAGGTCTCCCTCTCTTTGGAGTAGTGGTCGAAGCTAATTCATCATCTTTGGTGCTACCACCAGACTGTGACAGCTCCTTAGGCGCCAGCATGCCCTTCTCAAGATAAGAATGCTCTTGTAATTGCACACCTACATGGCCTTCAATCCTTCCATTTCCAGAAACATTAAACTCTTCTTTTTTATCATTTGCACCTATGCATACCCTTTCAATACATTCTTCAAAGCTTAAGCCAATATTATTTTTCTTAGCATTTTCAAGATGCTTGCTTCTTTTAATGTGTTTCTCCATTCCTTCTTTGCTCAATGAATAAAGATTACAAGCTTTACAAAGAAAATGATAGTCCTGACCATGCCGAAGCTTTATATGTCTCGTGAGAACAGTAGAAGATCTTGTCTTATAAAAACACTTCTTACACTGAAACTGAGGCTTACTGGAATGCCTCACTTCATTACTATGGCTTACCCTGGACGTCACAGGTTCTTCCTGAGATGCTTTTCCTGAGTCATCCATAGACTCTTTTGAGTTTTCTGATTCTAAAGTACTTAAAGGTAAAGTCTGTAAAACCAAATCACTGTTAGATGATTGCAAAGTCTTTGGTTGAACCAATGAACTAAGATGTTTCTCGGTGGCTTTGTGTTCTTCCATGCCTTTTTCAGACAAAAAGAACAGGTTACAAGGGGTGCAAAGAAAATGCATATTGTGCTTTTCCTTCATGTGGTCTCTAAGATTTATTTCATCCAAGGATATAAATGAACAACACTGACAACTCAGGACAGAAGCAGTTTGCTGATGCTGGTTACTGTGCAAATGTTCATCTAAGTCCCTTCTTGACATACTAGAAAAGTCACAAGTATGGCAGTAAAACTTGATCTCTCTGGCATGGCACCTTTTCACATGAATTTCCAAATCTGTCCTATTTGTAGCTACTTGCCCACAGTCCGTACAAGCACACAACGTCTGAGAGTCAGAAGCTGGCTTCACTGCTGGCGAGTCCAGCCCGGAGTCCGGAGGATGGGCGCTCCCCCGGCCCTGCTCTGCCTCCTGGGTTTCTGAGGTAGTCACACACAGTCTCTGTACGCTGCTGCTCGCTTCCAGGTGTTTCAGCACTGACTCTGCATCGTGTGTTTTCATCTGTGTTCTCAAGTGTTTCATATACATCCGCTGAGTTTCACTTGTGCCTCTTTTAATTCCCAAAAGATTAAACCTTTTCTTTGCCTGGCCCTTCAAGGTGAAAGTGCTGCTTCGTCGACGAAAGCTATTACCCAACACGAGAATATTTCGCTCGGGTCTTGGCCTCGAGGTTACACTGATACCGTGTGCTGCTGCCTGCAGGGTATTTTTCGTAGATTCCAATTTCTCTAAGAGACCCTCTGAGGTTACTAAGGTGTCTAGCTTTTTACTCTGGTTTTCAGGATTCTGAGCTACACCAAGGGAAGTAACATTTTCTTCAACAATCTCTACTTCCTGTGACGAAGTATTTCTGGAAGGCATCATTTCAACAAGAAGCTCACTGCTACTACCACTTTGTTTAGAAATACTTCCTCTGAAATCTTTAAATTTGCTTCCCACATTTTGTAATCCTTTTGGATCACTATTCTTTGCTATTGGTTTAGAAGTTCTTGGTTTTGAGTGAACACTTTTTGTTGCCACTGTACATGATTTTTTAGGAAAAGGTTGTTTTGTTAAGATCTGTACAAATCCTCCCCGAGCAGCCAGATTCTGACGACGGAGATGTGTTTTGCCAAGATAATGTGCATTCAACAGGTTTTCTTCTGCACACTGGAAACCACAAAGATCGCAAGAAAAGACCTTCTGTGTCCCATGTGCTTGTTTGATATGCATATGTAGCGCTGAGCTGCTCTCTGCTTTGTGGCTGCAGTGACAACAGGTATGTTCCTTAGACTGCTGCACGTGAGACTCAGCATGTTTTTCCAAGTCAGAGCAAGAAGAAAACAAATGCCCACAGATGCTGCACTTGAGAACTGGATCTACACTCCCAGTGGTACAACTAACACTAATTTCTTTCAGGGGGAAAGGCGATTCTCTTTCCAGATCAAGGGAAACCATTTCCTGAGCAGATGTTTTTTCAGTGTCTGTTTTCAGAGAAACAACATCAATAGTGCTAAAATTGCGAGAAGGAGAAAGGGCATTTGGGAGACCCGTGTCTCCAACTGTGCCGTCGCTCAGAAAGGTCTCCTTCCCTGTTTCATCTAATGCAATACCCTCTTCTGTGACTGAGCTCTCAGAAGTTTCTAACTGACAAACACCTTGCTTTCCAGATTTAAGGGGCTCTGCCTCATCTAATCTCCTACGTTTGGAAGCATGTTTATTTATGTCTTTTATAACAACACTATCAAAGTTCAATGATTCTGAAAAACCTCTTTTGCCCACAGAATTCTCAGGGAAACTTGCTGTCACATCAGACACAGGCCCACCATCTTCATTATGGGATGAAAGCTTTGTCAAGTCTTGTGCTTCTTTGTTTATCTTTCCATCCTCGTCATTTTCAGGTTTATTCTCACTATCCATCATTAATAAAGTGCTGACGATGCTTCTATCCAAGGAGGCTCGCTGGCACTCATAACCTGTGAAGTAAACAAACATGGTATTAAGTTTTGAATATAACGACACACGTATTAGTCCAAAACTAGATGAAAAAGTATCATGAAGTTAGCCCCAGTGAAACGCCCTTTATACTGAGATGCATTTGATTACATCTCTAAAGTCTTTTATTAAAAAGTATGAAGTAGGATTTTAGGAACACCACGTCACCCTATTGTTGACTCCGGAAAAAAATACTATGATATCTTTGGTAGAAAAAGTGATTTCTCAACAAGCCTGCAGAAAAACTCCCATATTTCAGGTCTCTGTACCAGTATATTTCAATTTACTATCCTTTAAAAAAAAAAAAAAAAGAGAGAGAGAGAAGCTCTCCTTTCAAAATACATCTCAATGAGCTCCTACTCTGTAAAATATATTAAAACGAAAACTGCTGTGACGGAAGTCAAGAAAGCCTTCCCCTCCTTAACCTCTGACAGAAGCCCAAGTCCTATATAAAAGAAACACAATTTTAAAACAACTGTTTCGGCCGGGCTCCGTGGCTCAGGCCTGTAATCCCAGCACTTTGGGAGGCCAAGGCGGGCGGATCACGAGGTCAGAAGATGGAGACCATTCTGGCTAACATGGTGAAACCCCGTCGCTACTAAAAATACAAAAAAATTTAGCCGGGCGTGGTGGCAGCACCTGTAGTCCCAGCTACTCGGGAGGCTGAGGCAGGAGAATGGCGTGAACTCGGGAGGTGGAGCTTGCAGTGAGCCGAGATCGTGCCACTGCACTCCAGCTTGGGCGACAGAGCAAGGCTCTGTCTCAAAAAAAAAAAAAAAAAAAACAAAAAAAAAACAAAAACCAGTTTCATCCTTTTCTCCTAAAGCAAAGAGCTTTACCATGATTTTTCTAAATATATTCCAATGAACAACATGTATAATCTCATTACATATCACCATTCACGCTCAACCTCTTTTACCAATGAAAAACCACTTCTAGTCCAGCTGTCAATCATTAATTTCCTCATCTAACAGTCATTTTATATTGTCTGAAGGTTAATGGCAAAGGGAAATGTCAGTGGTAGAGTACAATTAATGGAGTAAATTTTGAGGAAAAAAAGAATTTTATTGAATAAAATCCCTTGAAATCAATAATATTGATTTTATTTTTCATTATGCTATTTAATTCAATTAAAACATATCATTTTCCATTTACTTTACACCATGATTGGAATTTTCAGCCAAATGCCACTTGATTCCATGTTAATAAAAAGGCATCAATGTATTATAGTCTCGAGGCTAATGATAACTATTTTAAACTATTTTAGCTATTTTTTCCATAACATTGACAAATCAAATGAAGCCTATTGCTTTGACTCAGCTAAAATTAGGTAACAAAAATATACTTATAATGTAGGGCACGGAAAGCATGAACACCAAGAGAAAAAAACAAGTAAATTGAACTTCATCAAAATTAAAAACTTCAAAAGACACTATGCTTCAAAGGCCACTATCAAGAAAGTGAAAACAGAGCCCACAGAATGGGAACACATTTTTGCAAATCAGATATCTGATAAGGGACTTGCATCTAGAATATATTTTAAAAACTGTTGTTATTCAATACTCAATTGTAAGATAAATCAATTTAAAATGAGTAAAGAATACAAAATACATTTCTTCATTGAAAATATACATAATACGCATATGAAAAGATACTCTACATCAGTAGTCACTAAAGAAATGCAAATCAAACCCACAAGGAGATACCACTTCAAACCCACTAAGACAGCTATACTCAAAAAATGAGATAACAAGTGTTGGTAAGAATGGGGAAAAACTGGAACCCTCATAACACTACTAATGGGAATATAAAATGGTGCAGCCACTTTGGAAAACAGTCTACCAGTTCTTTAAACAATTAAACATGGTGCTAGCATATAGTACAGTAATTCTACTGCGAGGCATACACAGCCAAGAGAAACAAAAACATATATCCACCCAAAAACTTGTATACAAATGCTGATTGCAGTATTTATTCATAATAGCCAAAAGGTAGAAACAACCCAAATGTTTATCAATGGATGAATGAATCAAGAAAATATGGTATCTGCACAATGAAATATTATTCAGTCATAAAAAAGAATGAAGTATTGGCCAGGCACAGTAGGTCTTGCCTATACTCCCGATGCTTTTGGAGGCCAAGGAGGGAGGATGGCTTGGGTCCAGTAGTTCGACACCAGCCTGGGCAACATAGCAAGACCCCAACTCTACAAAAATAAAAAATAATAAAATCAGTGGCAAGTGCCTGTGGTCCTAGCTCTGGAGCAGAAGCAGGAGGATTTCTTCAGCCCAGGAATTCAAGGCTGCATTGAGCAATGATCACACCACTGCCCTCCAGCCTGGACGACAGAGACAGAGACCTTGCCTCTAAAAATATAAGTAAAAATAAAATTTAAAATGAAGTACTAACATGCCACAATGTGGATGGCCCTTAGAAACATCATGCCAAGTGAAGATCATGTTCTATATCATTCCTTTTTACATGAAATGTCCAGAATAGAGAAATCTATACACACAGAAAAATAGACAGCCCTTGATTTCTTAGGGCTGCAGGTAGGCAGGCAGAATGGAGGATGAGAGCTAAAGGGAAAGAGGTTTCTTTTTGAGCTGATAACAATGTTTTAAAATGTACTCTGGTGAAAGTGGCACACATCCATGAATAGATTATAATACTAAAATCCACAGAACTGCAAATATCTCAATAAAGCTGTTTAAAATATATAAGTTGTCATATATTATCTATAACATAAAAATATTTGGAAAAGAGTAAAAAGATAAATATACCTAGTTTTATTGCACTTATAAGATACTCAACATTAGTTCAGATACATTCCTTCAGAACAGGTTCCAGAAAGTATAAATTCTGTAAGAGTAGGTGTTTTAAGTGAATAAAACATCTCTGGTCGAATATGTTTAGAAAACTCTAGTTTGTGAGCCAGCTGTGGTGGTGTGAACCTGTAGTCCCAGCTACTCAGGAGTCTGAGGTAGGAAAATCACTTGAGCCTCAGAGTTTGAGGCTGCAGTGAGCTACGACTGAATCACTGCACTCCAGCCTGGGCAACAGAGTGAGAGCCTGTCTCAAAAAAAAAAAAAAGAGAGAGAGAGAGAGAGAAAGAAGGACAGAAGGAAGGAAGGGAAGGAGGGAGGGAAGGAGGGGAAGGGAGGGGAGGGGAGGGGAAGGAGGGAAGAAGGAAGGCAGACAAGCTGAACAAACATTTCTTTACCACAGGATTTCTCGGTACACAAGAAATTCCCAACCTTATTTGATTACAGAACCCTTTGTTTATAAAGAATCAAGAGACCGGTGTAGCAAAGGATCCTTAGGAAATGCTCTTTTGGCTGGGCACAGTGGCTCACGGCTGTAATCCCAGCACTCTGGAAGGCCAAGGTGGGCAGATCACTTGAGCCTGGGAGTTGGAGACCAGCCTGGGCAACAGGGCGAAACCCTATCTCTAACCAAAAAAAAAGAGGAAAAAAAAACAGAAATGCTCTTTTCCATAAAGCATTGGTTTGCTATTCAACATTTGCAGTTGAAGAGTAAAGGGAGGAAAGGAAGTACGAAAGAATCATGCACCCCATTTTAAAACCTTCGCTTAGTGCCTACGATGTGCCAAGTATTCTTGCTTGTTGATGCTGGATATACAGCAAACACCACCCAAAACCTAAGTCCTGTGAGAGCTTACACCGTAAGAGATGAGACGTCGAGACAATACATTGCTTAAAACAGATATATTGTCCAATCCAGGGCAGCTGCTTCTGGTCAAGATCAAGTCCCAGGGACTAGATTTACTCTCATGTTTGAAACTACTATAAAAAAAAAAGTAAATAAAACCTGCGAAGCAACAGTGCAAGACAGTCGACATCAGACACCAAAGGACAGTGATTCCTGAGACGAACACACTAGGTGAGCCCGGCTTACTGCCTGACAAGTACACAGGCCATAGCACAAGGAGGGGCATTATAAGTTGAGGATAAAACAAAGGAGAGGAGAAAAGTGGAGAGAAAAAAGAGGCCCAGAGATCTGCAGAGGTGACCTCCCAGGAATCCCTATCAAGATACAGAGCCCTGCCCTCCTTCCAGCAAGATGCCTCATGCACCTTCACAGTTGGTCCCTGGTAACACCAACCCTCCACCATGGCAATCACTGTTCAGAATTCTTCCACAATCGTTTAGTTTTGCCTGGTCTAGTAAAATGGCACCATGCAATACGCTCTGTGGGGGAAGGGGGGTCTGGCCTCTTCGGCTCAGCCTGAGGCTTTTGCTGCATGTGTCAGTAGTGTGTTCCACTGCACTGCTGGGTTATAGGATACTCAACAGATACACCACAGTTCTGCTGATAGACATTAGGGCTGTTTCCTTTTGTTACTATTGCAAGAAAGCTGCTATGAATATTCTTAGTTCAACAAATATGTACTGAGCACCTACCAAATGAAAGGAACTGCAGTGCTACCAACGCACTCATGCACTGAGATAATATACTGTGGGAGTCACATGACATACACACCGGTGACTTCAATACAAGGCCGTACATGATCATGTGTATAATACAAACTAAGATCTACAGCAGTATACTTGAGCAAGAATATTCATGTGTTTTTACAAACATCTTTTTTCTTTTGTGTAAATATCCAAGAGTGATACTGCTGGGTTACAGGGCAGATGGACGTCCAACTTCATGAGAAACTGCCTGACTGATTTTCAAAGTGCCTGTACTGTTTTGCATTGCTAGCAGCTATGTATAAGAATTCTGTTTGACCCACACCCTCACCAACATTTGGTATCAGTCTTTTAAATTTTAGTCACTCTAGTGTGTATGGTTTTAATCTCCATTTCCCTGATGCCTAGTGATGGCACTGAATACTTTTTGATGTGCTTTGTTAGTCTTTTGGCTGTTTCTTAATTTGGTTGTTTTATTATTGAACTGCTTACGTATTCTGGATATAAATCCTTTGTTAGATATATGTTTAACAAACATTTTCTCC